ACAACTCACTTCCCTAACAAACGTTCTATCACGTCTACAGACGCTTTTAAAATTGAGTCCTCATAAGACATCAATGTAATAATTTTTGAATTAGGAACCCGCGCCAATTTGCAATTCTAACCTAACTAATATGGTGAATTGGTTGGTTAACTGACACTTACTACACTTAGGGCTGGTATTATCAAACCATTCTGACAGTATAACTGAAAGTTAACTGGCGGAATAACGTTACTTCTTATAGTAATTCCAGAAGTTAACTTAGAGTTATCTTTTAAAAGAGGGCGGGTATTACAAAACTATTTTGACAGAATAACTAAATGTTTATAACTACTGGAATGACGTTACTTCTCAGTAATTCCAGGAGTTAACTTTCAGTTATCTGTCAATAGACATTCGTATATCAAGGCCGCGAAATGCCCTTTTAGCGTACGTAGGGAAAAGTTATCGCCTCGGCCGCTTGCAGCCTAGGCAAGATAATCTCAAGGACGCTAAAAAGTTACGTGGTCATGGTATACACATTACATACACATATTTTTTGTGCAACTATAAAAATTATGTGAAATTATAGAAAAACTATATGGATTTGACACAGTTTGCACGTCAGGTGTGGTGGCCATGAAATCGTATTTCACGGCCTTTGTAGCGGCCGCGAACGCTCATTTCGCGGACGGTTGCACAAAAAATAGTTTCAAAATACACGCCCTTAGTACACACACAAGAACCAAAAACAAAAACTAAAAAGCACCTAACTGTACTGTCCGTACTTCACCGACAAGTGCTGTAAACTATCTCTGGATTTCTTTCAAAATTTTAATTTTTGTTTTTTTTTGTATATTTATCAGTTTATCATTTTTAATTCATTTTTATCGACGCCTTTAGAATACGGTTGTGTGGGGGCCCCTCAACTTTGGGGGCCCGACGCAGAGTGCGTCGTTTGCTTCATGTTAGATCCGCCACTGCTAGTGATAAAATATCTAGTGACGAAAGTGAATGATTAGGATTTTACATGTTAAAAACATTCTTTCAAATCCAATTATAATTCAATTTTGTGAAGCACAACGAAAGAACATAGTTTATCACAATAGTACATTAAAATACAAGTTTCATGAGACGTCATTTTATCGCACGAGCCCTATATTAGAAAACGAGCCGGAGGCGAGGGGGGCGACAATCACCTAACCAAGTACTTGGAAAAGTACAAAATTATCAACGATAAGCAATACGGATTTCGAAAATATAGGTCAACTGGCGATTTACTTACATACGTCACTCACTTATGGCAAAAAGCGATTGAGTTGCGGGGTGAAACAAGAACAATTGCCTTAGATATATCTAAAGCATTCGACAAAGTTTGGCATGAAAATCTGCTCAACAAGCTCAAAGCAATGGGATTATCGCCGAAACTTTGCACTTGGTTTGAAAGTTACCTAAAGGACAGATCCATTTATGTTGCACTGGTTGGCCAGAACTCCAACTCTTACCAAATAAATGCTGGTGTGCCACAGGGAGCAATCCTTTCGCCAACTCTTTTCCTGATTTACATAAATGACCTCATAGATAAAACAGTAAATCCACTTTATTGCTTTGCAGACGATGGCGATGTAGTCTCCTCACTCATACCACCCACAGGTCTTTCCGCACGTGAATTCCATCATCTTAGACTAACTCAAATATCGCAGATAAATAACGACCTGGAGATAATAGAGGACTGGGGTAACAAAAACCTTGTACAGTTCAACGCGCAGAAAACCCAAGCAGCTCTGTTTTCAAAAAAGACCAGCACCGGTGAGCCAAACATCATGCTATCTGGAAGTGCTGTCACATTACAGAGTCAGTTGAACATCTTGGGGGTTACTGCAGAGACCAACATGTCTTGGCACAGTCACGTGGCAGATATTGCTAAAAGGGCCTCCCAAAAGCTGGGGGTGCTATTTCGTACAAGACATCTGTACACACCAAGCCAATTGCTGACACTCTACAAAGCCCAGATTCGACCAACTATGGAGTACTGCTCACATATATCGAGTGCAGCACCCAAACATACCTTAATGCTTTTGAATACCGTGCAAAAACGAGCTATCAAGCTGATCAATGACCCCGCACTTACTCGTAACTTGGATGGTCTCGAACATCGCAGATCTGTGGCCGATTTATCTCTCTTCTACAGGTACTATCACGGAAAATGCTCTGAAGAGTTGGCACGTATGATTCCCCCGGGAGTAGCACCTACCAGGCGAACCCGTCAAACAGGCGGTAACCATGAATTTACTGTCAAACTAGAGGCACCAAGAACCTCATTATATCAGAATTCATATCTCTGGAGAACAGCATCGCTGTGGAATAAACTCCCTGCGACGGTTTTCCCTGCAGGTTACAACCTGAACCGTTTCAAGACCAACATACACCGACGTTTCCGCGCACTTGCCGCTTCTCGAGCGTGATAGGACATTTCCTTGCGAGTGCGCATATCCGTAAAAAAAAAAAAAAAAAATTTATACTATTTTTTCTATTTTGGTATTGTTTAATTGAAAAAAACAAACTTTTCTTGGAAATTTTATTCTCATATTTCCTGATTTCATATGTTTAGGTTGGCAACACTACATGCCAAAAATCTTCTATTATTTTTTATCGCGAATGACAGTTCGATTGCCATCAGTCAGCCAGTGTAACCAACCTCCGATAAGTAAAAAAGGAGTGTCACAAAGAGCTTCTTTTCGAAACTACTTTTAGTGTCGAAAAGACTTCGATATGGAACCAAAATAGAAAAAATTATTTAAATTTTACTCTATATAATGTAATAAAAGCAGAACATACAGACCAGAGACCAGAGTGGCAAAAAAGTAGTGCAGTGCATACAACCTTTAGGTTTTTAGGAACTTTTTTCATACAAAAAGTTACACAGGTATTATTATGCGCTACTTTTTTGCCACTCTATCGTATAAATAATGATGTTTACTGTTGTTTTGTCGTGATTCGTGAAGCGTTTATTTTGTTATCTAATAATTAATAAAGGAGAATTTTTTTTGGTCGAGTTTTGGTTGAATTCTTGACAAAATTTGGGCGTGGCTCCAAAAAATTTGTTGTGCTTTTGCTCAAGGGGGTCCATAGAGGGGGGACACATTGAGCACTACAGCCCCTCCCCCCCTTATGCTTTTGAGCGTGACACCCGAAAAAAATGTTTCGCCTGCGGCGAGCTTTCCGTCTGGATAAGACCAGTCCCGCTTTTTCATTTCATAGATCTGGCAACCCTGCATAAAAATATAAAAATTATTTTATATTATTATAAGGGGTATTTTTCTAATTTTGAGTAGTCACCATAGAGATGCGATTTTCAATTGTTAATGGTTAACTTTACCCTGGGAAGCCTAAGTTGGAGCTGTGCACATTTTGGAAACAAGGTAGGTAAACAGTTCCGATTTATTTGATTCTTACTTTGCAATACATAAAATCCGCGAACCAGCTTCAAATTGTTTTTTTAATTTTTAACACTCTGAAAAGAACGGTACCTAGGCTGAGTTCGTTTTTGTCATCTTTTTCGTCGATTTGCTCCAAAATTGTGACAGGCACGTGATTTGTAAACTTAAAGAGAGTTCTCGTGCCGTCCAAATTTCAAATACCGTAACGCTATTTGACAAGTATGACAGTTCTTACGGTATTAGCGTTAGCGGAGCCCGCTATCTAACGGAACTTACCGGATGCCTTACCGTAACGCTATGTTATGTCAAAACTAATTCACGCTCGATTTATGTCTACAAAAACAACAACTTTCAATAATTCCATCATAAAAAACAACAAGGGAAAATTAATCAAGCTCAGGAATCTTCAGAATAAATAAAAGTTACAAAACAAGCAAAAAAAGTTGGGTTAGATCACTCAACTCCGCTGTCAAAATGTAAACAAAATAAGGGATTAGAGGATTTATGTGTCTTCGTGTCCGAGAACTATAAAATACCATGTGGAATACCGTATTGTTAGCGTTACCGTATTAGCGCAGCGTCTGATGCACGAGAACTTTCTATTGTCTTATCCAGTCACAAATCGACGAAAAAGATAACATAAACGAACTCGGTGGGTTTGGCTTGCTCACTCCGTGCACTCCGAGTGATTCCATTCGCACTCCAGCCGTTCGAGTATTGCTTTTTGGCGTATTAGGGGTGACTCCATTAACGTTCGACTATAAGGAGTAGAGTAAACGGAGTTCACTCCAATAGTACCATCTCGAGGTGGGTTCGGCTTGCTCACTCCGAGTGACTCCATTTGCACTCCAGCCCTTCGGGAATTGCTTTTTACCGTATTAGGGGTGACTCCATCAGCTCTGTTCTTATTCCACTCCAACGCGCTGAATAGCCGAACCCAGCTTCGGAAAGAGAATTTTTCAGAGTAAGCATGCGCAGACGTGAAATGTGTAATCTGTCAAGCTTGTTGTGTGTTGTGTTGTTAACAGAGGCAAAAGCATCATTCTTTATTGTGAAAGAATTAAGCCTAGTACTCATAACTGCGAAATTCGCATTTTTTTGACATTGCGTTGACAATTTGACGTTTTATGCGTGTATCAAACGTCAAATTGTCGAAGCAATATCAAAAAAATGCGAATTTCGCAGTTATGAGTAGGTACTAGGCTTTACACGAAAGACCAAAGACAGAAGTGAAAAAAAAATTGGAAATAGAACGTGGTAGGGTCACGACGGTTGACTGATTGGATTGAAATTAAACAAATCAGCCCTCGGATACTATTTTACGAGTCGAGTCGAATTCTCCCGATATCGAATACGACAGCTCCGGACGTACCGTGTTCGTGTATGCGTATCGAAAAATAGAATCGCTATTTTGACAATTCCATACGAATTTCGACTCGATTCGTAAAATAGAATCCGACCTCAGCTGTTTGACATTTTTGCTCCGACCGTTCCGGTCGTTCGTGTATTATTTTTCTACTCTTATCACTCCTAGATCATGTGACAAAAATCTGTTCCTACTCTACTCCAACTCCGTGCTGAATAGTCAAACCCACCTTGATTCGATATATCGATATCGTCCAACATCCATATACCGTAGCTATGGCAGTACAAGCAACAAGTAAGTTGACAAACATATAACTTACTAATCAACAACAGTTTAATCTCTGTTACTAATCAAATTTCCATTCCCAGTAGGTGTATGACTAGTGATTATATTTAACTGGAATATTGAATATTGTGTTTTTGGTGTCTTCAGAACAATAAGGTAATGTATTTACCATTTTCTTTTCCTCAATTCTCAAACACATATCTTTGGTTTTAGTCTGTAGAAACAAACAGGGTGTTAACTCAATAACAAGCCCTTTTCAAAAACAAAAAAGCAATGGCTAGGGCATTAGTTAATAATTACTATACACAGTCTGCTTATGCTGATGTTTTAAGAGCTAATTCAGCAGCCTTTTTTTATAAACTAGACGAAATGGAGTTTCATGTGAAAAAAGCCTCACATGCTTATCTACAGGATAATGAAAAATACATACTCTGCCTAGAAACACCAGAAACCACTCTGATGTCTGTTTTACTAGCACACTCATTGAGAAAATTGAACAAAGACAACTTGTTGGATCTAGTATTTACTGATTTTCATAATTTCATTAGAACCAATACGCAACAGAATGAAAACTCTCCGAACTTCCCTGATATATTGGTATGTAAAGTGGATGTAAACGAGCAACTAAATCAATGTTCTGAATTATTAACATCATGGGCAAGGCTCGTCAAGAATGAATCTAAAAAAATAATTTTTATAATAAAAGATTCCAAGTATTTAGAGCAAACCATGATAGACGCTAGAATGGTGTACGTTTTGAAGTTGAAATTCACTGAATTGTGGGAAGAAAATAAGACTTCAAATAATGAAGAAAATAAAGTTGGGAATAATCAAGAAAATTTGAACATAAAAACAATGAATGATGTATTGAATAATGCAGTTTCAAATGCTGGAGATGAGGCAATTAAAGCAAAAGAAGAAACTAATGAGAAATCAGCTTTGCCCACTGAAGCAGAAATCCAGGAACTTACCGCAATTTTAAAATTACATGGCATTGAATCCGTAAATGCAGTGGATAAGCAAGGCCAGAACAACACTCCATTGCATTTGGCAGCCAAAAATGGACAAAACAAAATCGTCAAAGTTCTGCTACTTTGTGATGCCGGCATGGAATTAAAAAATTATGAGGGTCATACACCTCTTTATTTAGCAGCTGAAGGGGGTCATCACAAAGTAGTTAGCACTTTGCTTGAAAATGGTGCTAATCCCAATGCATTAAATGCAATAACTGCTAGAATTAGCAATAAAGAAACTCCACTCCATATGGCATGCTACAACAATGATGTCCGCTCAGTTGAGCTTCTTTTGAAATTTGGTACCAGCATTGACACAAAAGATAAGGATGGTTATACACCTCTTCATTTAGCAATTGAACAGGAACATTACGAAGTAGTTAGCATTTTGCTGGAGAACAATGCTAATATAAATAGAATTACCACAGCTGGTCAAATTCCACTCGAAATAGCATCTAGTAAGAATAATGTCCGTTTGATGGAACTACTTTTGAAATTTGGTGCAGAAATTGAAACAAAAACTCTAGATGGTAATACACTTCTTCATTTGGCAACTCAAAAGAGTCATCACGAAATAGTTAACACTTTGCTGGAAAACAATGCTAATATAAATGCAATCAACAAAGTTGGTCAAACTCCACTCCAAATTGCATTTTCTAAAAATGATGTCCGCTTGATTAAACTATTTTTGAAATTTGGTGCTGAAATAGAAACAAATACTGTAGATGGTAATGGTAATACACTTCTTCATTTGGCAACTCAAAAGAGTCATCACGAAACAGTTAACACTTTGCTGGAAAACAATGCTAATATAAATGTAATCAACAAAGTTGGTCAAACTCCACTCCAAATTGCATTTTCTAAGAATGATGTCCGCTTGATTGAACTATTTTTGAAATTCGGTGCTGAAATTGAAACAAAAACTGTAGATGGTAATACACTTCTTCATTTGGCAACTCAAAAGGGCGATCACAGTGTAGTTGGCACTTTGCTGGAAAACAATGCCAATATAAATGCAATTAACAATGCTGGTCAAACACCAATCCATATGGCATCTTGTAAAAATGATGTCCAGTTGATTGAACTTCTTTTGAAGTTTGGTGCCAACATTGAAACAAAGCAAGCTGGAAATGGTATGACACCTCTGCATATAGCATCTTCCTCTGGCCATAACTCGGTAGTAACCACATTGTTGGAACACGGAAGCAATATAAATGCTCAGGACAATAATGGACACACGCCATTGCACCACGCTATACAAATCAATAGTCAACAAGTTGTTACCAATCTTTTACAAAATGGCGTCGACCCCAATCTACAAAATAATTCAAAACAAACTGCTGTTGATTATGCTAGATATTTTGGTCGAAGCACTTTAATTCACTTAATTGAAAAATATGATGGTTGGAATTAACAATTTTTGAATAAATAAATTTAGTTCTATATTTTTTGTTTTATTTATACAAGGTGAGTCTATGCTATTAGTCTAGCAGGCAGTGACGATTTTCGGTACCTACTTATTTTTCCAGTCAGACAACAATTCTAAGCAAAATACATATATTTTTAGGGGGGTTTTCCGATGGGTTGAGGTGCAAAATGCGTTAAAGCTTACCAATGCACGGCCCTTTTTTTTTCTCAGTGATAAAAATAGGTCTACTAATGAGAAGTATACTGAAGTTACGTGAAAAAATAGTCCGGCTAATCTGTGAGTATGGATAATATGTCTAGCAAGTGAAAAATTGAAGACCCGAAAATTTTCAGCCAGACTCACTTCCACTATCTGATATAAGCCAAATTGTTATTTTCATATACTTTATGTTCTATTGTAGTAAATGTAAAATATTTATGTCTAGGAAAATTAACGTACTTGAACTTTTCATTGATCTTGTGAACCCATCTGAAAATTACAGCCAGACTCAAAAATTCTTGTTTAGTATCACCAGGAGAACAAACCATTTGATAGACACCAACTGGGAAAATAAGTGCTAAAAAATTTCACTGCCTCCTGGACTAAATGTATATAAGTATATAAAATTTTAGATAATGGCATAAAAAGTTATTAAGAGAAGCTATTTGAAATTAAATTAAATATTCGAAAATTTGAAAATTTACAGGGAGTCATTTGAAAAAAAAAACACTACTTATTGGGTCACCCTGTATATTTTAAAATACTTCAAGAACTTTTTTCGAGGGTCAATGGTCAATTTGGGTTCTCGGAGAGGGAAAGAGAAGTTGGAGATTTGAAATCATTGGCCATGTTTATATGCATAGTTAATGGAAAACTAAAAAACGGATCATTTTGAAAATTTGGCAACCGAAATAAACGACCATAATCTACACTTTAAAAATATTTTTGTTTATATGGTGTTACCGCTTCTACTCTAAACTAGTGGCAACATCGCTATTTTCAATGGAACACCCTGTATGTGATTGCATATTTGGATTCAACGTTGAATTCTGAGCAGATTTTATGTGATATATCCTATACCTAAGTTCAACTGTTTTGGAAATATTGACAGTTGAAAATTGACTTTTTGCAACTTTGACAGGCTGTAAAACCTAAATGGTTAATTTTAGAGGAAAACCTATTTTACATTTCTATCTTAGATTTTCATAAACCATCATTTGACACCAACATTGAACTTAACCAGAGATTAAATTTAACTGGAATTTTTATTCATGGATTTAATTCAAAGTTGGTGTCAAATGATAGTTTATAAAAATCTAAGACAGGAATGTAAAATCGGTTTTCCTCTAAAATTAACCGTTCAGGTTTCACAGCCTGTCAAAGTTGCAAAAAGTAAATTTTCAACTGTCAATATTTCCCAAACCGTATCATATCACATGAAATCTGCTCAGAATTTTAGGTAGAATCCAAATATGCAATCACATACAGGGTGTTCCATTTAAAATAGCGATGTTGCCACTAGTTTAGAGTAGAAGCGTAGTGTAGACTATGGTCGTTTATCCCGGTTGCCAAATTTTCAAAATGATCCGCTTTTTAGTTTTCCATTAACGTCTAATACGCCATCCACCGTGGGACACCCTGTATACACCCCTAGAGCCTCCGACTAGAAAATCTTAAATGGAAAAGGGGGTGAAGCGATACATCATTTTGGAGGGTTTTTAATTCCATACATTTTGGTACTCATAGGCGGAACTAGGGAAGTGCTAAGCACCTTTAAAGTAAAAATTAGCACTCCCATTCGGCATCCCACCATAGCACTACCTACAGGGGCACTACCTAACACTAAGTAATATAAAAAATTAGTGCAACCAAATTATTTTTTTTGCACTTTTTGTACTTACTTACGTCATCGATGACGTCATAATTTAGAAAAAAGTATTTGTCGTTGATTAATTATTCATAGAGTCCTACACTCACAATTATTATTGTTATGGAATATAATTTTTTAACCAGGGCCGGTATTACAATATGTATTACCTTAAAATTAGGACTTACTCTAAAATATACGGTTTTTATATTATATTTAGGATGACGTCATCGGACAAGGTCAAACAATGTTGTCAATATCTATGTATCTTTGAGGTGACATTGAAATACCGACCCTTAAAAAAATCATTGGATTCCCAAATATATAAATTAATTAACTGCGTATTATACAGGGTGTTCCTAAATATCATGTACAAACGACAAAGGGTGATTCTTTGTTTTTTTTATTATGACTGAAATCTCAAATATGTTCTAAAAAATTGACTTATTTAAGCTAAGTTAAATAAATATAGTTTAAAAAAACTAAAAAACACGCTTTTATAGTAAATTGAACGAAAAAGTGAAAAATAATTTTCAATTTAAACAGAAAATATTAATGAACAAAAAATTTTAGAATTATTGTGAAAAAAGCGTGGGGTGCTTTGCTCCACATTTCTCGTACATTGAGCACCCCACGCTTTTTTCTCAATAATTCTAAAATTTTTTGTTCATTAATATTTTCTGTTTATATTGAAAATTATTTTTCACTTTTTAGTTCAATTTACTATAAAAGCGTGTTTTTTAGTTTTTTTTTTAAATACCTATAAGGTACCTGACCCAAATAAGGCCATGTACTTAATAAGGCCAGTGCCCCTTATTGCTTAATATTGAATCCCATCTTCAAAAATTACAATATTATTTAAAAAGATATCTATAATGCAAATCAAAAATTATTGCAAGGATTCGTAGCAACTCGTTATATGTCGAAAAATGGCCAACCACATATTTCATATGTCACGTTATAACTTTGAGGCTAGAACTTAATTAGTTTATACACCATGTTCATAAAGGGAGTGGAGCGAATTTAATTTTTACACGGACATTTATGTATTGAGAAAGCCACAGAGTAAGTACAGAATAATATCTTTTCTAGATTTCTAGTTACAGACTTTTCTTCATCAATGTAACATGTTCTTAATAAGGCCACATGAAAAATTTTCAATTGGCCTCACATCACAGTGTTTTTTTAAAAGAATGTGTCATATTATAACTTAAGTGATGTGTTTTAGAGCGCCTGGAGTCTAACCAAGCAAGAAAAGCTGCGGTTCAGTTGTCCTAGTTGTATGTAGACCTATTTGGATCACCATCCCAGGACTTGAAATTATTGTTTTTTTAGAATGCAGCAAACGTTGAAGTTCTATTTTGAGAACTTTTTGTCAAAAAATAATATTTTCATAAATTATTCTATTTATTTTAAACATTTTTTATTGATGGCCTTATTAGGAGCATAGTGGTACAAATAAGGCCAATGGCAAGGGTCTTTGTTTTACGCAAAAACCACCACTTATATGTAAAAATAAATAAATTGGGGTTAATATTCAAGTAATAGAAGCGAAACACTTCACATATAAGCTCGTGAATTTTGTCGGCTTTGGTGGATAGTGTTCAGAAAAAATAAAATTTCTTAACATGGCCTTATTTGGGACAGGTACCTTATTTATTTTTCACTTTTTAGTTCGATGTATTATTCTGTTGTTCATTTTTTTATTTTGAAGAAAAAACTTTAATTCTTATTTGTGTTTTATTTATATTTTGTGGGATTATTGTCGATTATTGAGATTATGGGAGGAATGGTTGACATTGCTGACATAAAGACACAATCAAAAAATTATGGTGTGATCGGTGCGACGAGGGTGCGACACCTGCAGCCGGATTACAATTTCACTAGTCGACACGAGTCGAGCGTCTCATATAGGCAACAACAACGTTATTTCTGAGTCGCATCCTTCGACTTCGAACAATTAGAATCCCCATCCTGGAGTGTGCCCGAAGTACTTTCTGAACGGCACAGAGTGCGCGGACCATTTATCATTTGGCTCGCTTTCCTCGGACGCGGGACGGAGACGGAACGCAAGCGTGACGGAGTCATAGCGCTTCCCGGCGTATCGCGCTAGGGAGGTAGTGCTTTCCTCGAAGGCGCAGCGACGTCGGCGGTTCTGCAATCCGTGTGTGAAAATGGATTCCGAAGATTTATTATTTTTTATTGTAATAGACGACATTGATGAAGAGCTTCTTATTGCGGAAATGTCGTCAAAACGAAAAAGTGAACACGAAATGTTTAAGCAACGTAGAGAAGAAGGATATTATAAGGTACTCATCAAGAAATATTTGTGTGATGACGAAGACAAATTTCGAGAGTTTTTTCGAGTATCTAGAAAACTTTTCCATTATATCCTCTCCTATATAAAGGACGATATTTTAACACTGCCATACAATCGGGTAAAAAATCCGATTTCAGTCGAAGAAAAACTATGTTTAACGCTATGGTAAGCTTGTCTTTTAATTTTCATTGACGTTAAAACTAGTAGAAAATATTTCTAGGTACGGCAAAAGCTTTCGATCATTGGCATTTGGGTTTAGAATTTCCAACAGTTGGATTAGTCATATTGTCAAGAATGTGTTGGAAGCGATATGTAAACGTCTATTACAGGTTGCTATTCCACAACCTACAGAAGCTATACTACGGAATAGTGCGTCGAAATACCGTAAAAAATGGAATTTCCCAAATTGTGTTGTTTCCGTGGATGGAAAACATATGGATGGAAAACATATCAGAGTAACTTGTCCTAGTAAAATAGGCTGATTACATTTTAATTATAAGGGATTTTTTTCAATTGTTTTGCTGGCTTTAGTGGACGCTGATTACTATTTTTTGGCTATAGATGTTGGAGGTTACGGTAAAGAAGGAGATGCTGGACTTTTTGCTAAATCCAATATGGGAAGGTGGATAAACTCAGAACGGTTCCCATTTCCTTGCCCTCAAAAAATTGCACAACAGGGGATTCCTTTACCGCATGTTATAGTTGGCGATGAGGCATTTAAACTTACGCCACATACATGGGCGTCGTTTGGGGGGGGCAAGAGGGGGCATTTGCCCCCCCTAGAAATAGTCTTTTGAACAAAAAAGCAGTAAAAGAGAGATTCGTATTGCTTTTTTCTATTTTTTCAAAATTTGTTAGGTAATTTGAAAAATTGGCTGACATTTTCATTACATTCAACGGAATTGAATTTCACTTGACTTAGGGCCGGTATTATAAAACACTGAATCGATGGTAGAGTTCCAACCTTCGGTTGAATCCTATCAATTTGCATGGAGTCAACCCAAGGTTGAAACTCAATCATCGATTCAGTGTTTTAAAATACCGACCATTAAAAAATTACCTAAACAAATGCAGTGGCGACCGCCAGAGGTTTATGTTAGGGAGGGGGGGGGGGCAGACTGGGCCAGAAAAATTTAGGAGGGCATTTGTTTTTATTTTACTGCTTTTGTTCTTTGGAATAAAAAATGGGAAGTAGGTACCTGTCGACACTATTATGTTTGAGGTAATACCAGGAAACCGAAAGCAGCATCCCAGTTGCCTGTGCCCAAGAACACTCAACCTAATAGGACT